TATCAGCCGAAGCTGATAACAGGCACTCCTGACCATCGCATCTATCTGTGATGTCAACTGGAGGGATGAGTCCAGGAGCGTTCCCAAGCTGTGAACACAGTCCTTCAGGGGAAGTGTGACCCCATCCAGAACTAGTTGACATATCTCCATTCCCAGGTTGGAGGTCCCTATAACAAGTACTACCTCCGTCTTACTTGGATTCAGTTTGAGTTTCTTTTCCCTCATCCAGTCCATTTTTTGTTGTTTCAAATGAAAAGCAGATTTCACTAAAACCAAAGATTCTTTAAGGACAAGAAAAGACAACCTCTTGCTAGACAACTTTCAAGAGTTTGATACATTTTCCATAAGCTGGTTTAAAGGACATTAAGGAAACTGTGGCCCTCCAAATGTTGAACTATAAATCCCATAAATCCTGACTAGTGACTAAGTTAGCTGATGGCAACTGGAATTCAACAACTTCTAGAAGACCACATGCTCTCTACCCTTATAACTCTTTTAATGGATTATTGGTATATTTCACATTTTTATATGCCTTCCCAGTCTGGTTATGGTTTGTCATTCTGGTAACAACACTCATCTCCAAAAGTAGTAATGTACACCATCATAAAGTCACTTTCTGCATGCTTTGATATCTATCTTTAATCCATTTATAGAAGTTGTTGCTTTTATATGGCAGTGAGTAAAATGTTACATTTCTGAAAACTACAATGCAAAATCTGTCATTAAAACAAAAGATGTGGCCATGAAATGAACATATATATTTAGAGATTGCCACATCAATCAGAGAAAGTAAAGCGCTGAGAGCTGTGGGTTGGGCATTGGTTCTAAAACTCTAGTCCTCCAGGTGCTTTGAGGCCCTAGCCAAGGATTCTAGGCACTGAAATCCAAAGTTTAGTCTATTTTGCTTTGGTCAGGCCTCACCTGGAATACAGCATCCAGTTCTGGGCACCACAGTTCAAGAAAGAGGTGGACAAGCTGGACAGTGTCCAGAGGAGGGGGACTAAAATGGTGAAAGGGCTGGAAAGTACAAGGAGCAGCTTAGGGAGCTGGATATGTTTAGCAAAAGAGAAGGTTGAGGTGACATGATAGCCTTGTTTAAATATCTGAAGGGATGTCATATTGTGGATGGATCATGATTTCTTTCTGCTGCTCCAGAGAATACGGAGGACACGGAGCAATGGATTCAGACTACAGGAAAAGATTCCACCTAAATATTGGAAAAAAACAACTTCCTGATGGTAAGAGCTGTTTGATAGTGGAAGACACTGCCTAAGAGTGTACTAGGGTTGTCTCCTTTGGAGGTTTTCCAACAGAGGCTGGATGGACATCTGTCGGGAGTGCTTTGATTATGTATTCTTGCATGGCAGGGGGATGGACTGGATGGTCCTTTTGGTCTCTTCCAACTCTTATGATTCAATTACTAATACTTGAGAACCACTGGGTCAGGCAGACTGGGATCTGGGTAAAGTAATATAATCAGGACATCGGAAGAGCAGAGAGAATGCAAAAATTAAATCAGAAGAGAGTAATGATGGCTTTACAGATGTTCTTCGACTGTAACTCTCACAATCCATCAACCCTGGCTGTGATAGCTAGGGCTGATGGGAGTTGCAGTCTCCTGCATAATTACCCAACTCTGCTTTAAAAGATGGTTCACACACATGTGATGACACCACTAAATTCTTTCTACAATGCCATCAGGCTTGTTAAAGTAACAACTTGATCCTGCTGTCTACAGGGAAGAATTAAATACAAGAGTTATCTTTCTGGTGTAATCTAATCAGTCATGGTTTTGCACTGCATCCAAAACCACAGGAAATGCATGGATGCAGTGACTTATGGCAATTCAACTTACTCGTATAGCATTTTCTTGGGGGAGGGATGGAACAGAAGACAGGACAGGATCTCTTTGTAGATTTCTAAATGATCTTCAGTGGATCTGCAAGGGTTTTCTTTTGAGTCTTCTTGTTAACTAACTAAAATATCTTTCTTTTAAACTGGGCTCTTCTAATTAAAAACACTGTAGGGAAAAACCTAGGACTGGACTTTTGTAACTCTCTGCTTACTTTTAGCATTCAAAACAATAATTATAGTAGATGTATGCTCAGAGGCACCCCATTCCTCCATTATCAATCTATGGAAGACATCATATAATCCCATTTCACTCAAGAGTACTTGGGAATTTGTGTGTGTTTTCACAAACCTATCTACAGGAATTCTTGGCGTTTTTACAGTGCAACACCAGAAGATATTTTTCATCATCCTTAGGCCAGAAACAAATGAAAGGCCCCCTCCCTCAATCTCAACTACCAATGCCCTGACGTCAGAGAGAGAGCAGCTGGCACAGTTTCATCATGCCTAGGCCCAAAAGCAAAGAAAGGCCCTCTCTCCATCCCAACTGCCACTGCCCTGGCCCTGGCAGAAAAGAAGAGGCAATACCTCTGCTAGGTTAATCTCCTGTCCACAATGCCATCCTCTTTTCCTTTTCTGTCATGTCTTAATCAGATTGTAAACCTGAGCACAGGGAACTGTTTTGTTGTTCTTTTATTTGTAAACCCCATGTATAGGGATAGCGTTACATAATTGGATTAAATTAATTAATTAATATTATGAATTTTGATGGCAC